ATTAGCTAAAATTTCAAATTGGCCTCTTTATATATATAAAAAATAAAATCTGAATTTGGCCGCTAAAAATTTTTATTAGTTGGGACTAGGTTGTCCACACTGTAATAAATAAATATCAATAGTTTTTGAAAGATTATAATTTTACATGAAAATATATTTCATATCACAGATCATAATGAAATCGGATTAAAATAAAACTGGGAACCTTTCTTGCTTACCTTTAAAGCTTATAAAACCTACTTATACTCATTTATTAATAAAACTAACTCTAAACCCTAACTCTAACACTAACCCTAACCCTAAAAAATGTCTTCAAAAAATTTTAAATTTTCTTAAAAAAATAGAAAAATTTCATTTTAATTCTATTTCATGATATCATATGACTTTTTATGAAAGTTATTCAAATCTTTTTACTCAACTACTATCTTCTTTAATAAAAGCTGGATAGATTCGTCTTACAACTCAAAAAAGAAATCCATTATCAGAAAGTGAAGCAAGTAGTATTAGCCCTATTATAGAGGTATTTTTAAAACATGAAGTTGATAGATATTAAAGAAAAAAAAATCTTGATATAATCCTATAGATGCAGAGCATTTCTGCTCTACAATAAAAGCACTAGTTTCAAAACCTAAAGAGTTATGCCTTAAAGAGGCTTCTAATAGCTTGCTTTGCAATACTAATATCCAAGTAATTAAAACCCAAGAGTCATTGCTCCACAATACTCTGAAGAAGAGGTTAATGCTAGAATTAAAAAAGCTACAGACAATTTATATCAAGAATTTATTAAATCTACTGAGAAAACCTTAAAAACTATTAAGCAACAGAAAAATATAGAATGCAATCAAATTAAGATAGATATGGCTAATTGGAATACAATATTATTCAAACATACATTAAAAAAAATAATCCGAAATGGTAGTATATATAATCTTATTCATATGTTAGAAGAAAAAGATGGTAAATCATATTCTAATATATCCTGGAAAAAGTGATTTATATATTTCTCCCATATAGAAATATCTCGAAACTCAGCTTCTTTAATATATTGTATTGTATTATTGCAATACAATGTCCCTTCAAAACTAATTTTTTTTTTTTGAGTAAATTAGAAATTTGAAACTTTGCTTCCTCATCTTTATTATAAACAGAAAGTGAAATAGTAATACTTTTTCCATTAGCTGATACAGTAAACTCACCCTTTACTATAGGCTCCCAGCCTGCTCGATGCTGCTATCTTGTACCAAGAATGAATAGTGATATATCCTTACTATTGCTATCTTTTTCTGTTGGTAAAACAGAAAACTTATCAGAAACTATTAAAGTATCATTTCCAATACCTATAGTAACAGGAATATCTGAAAAGGTCCCAATAGATTGTTTTTCTCCTACTGCCCCTGTTAGTCTATAAACCTTTTTTCTGTCTATTTTAAGCCCAAAATATTTTATAAAATAGTTTGCGATATTTTCAGAAATATGTGACCCATCTAAACCTGTATCAAGTAATACATGAGGTATTTCTAAATCATATACTTTACATGAAATAGTGGCATAATTATTGGGTTCTTTTATTTGCAAAAAGTTTATTTTTAATGGGTCAAGCCAATTTCAATATAATTGAGCTTCTTAATATTGTTTTATAGTATAATTTAAGAAAGGAGACCCTTCTACCTTCTCACAATAATTGCTTGGAGTCAGGCATGAAGTGTCTTGCTTCACAGAAGATACTGGTATATTATTTTCTGAGCATGCAAGAAAAAATAGTTCTAAAATAATTTGATACTTTTTTATTATATTTTCCCATACTTTGTCTACTTCTTTTTTCGTATAATTTTTTGAATAATACGAATAAAATGAGTCTTTCATTTCAGAAAATAATTTACTAAGATCTGTATATATTTCAGTTAGAATTTCTTTAGGACATCGAGAAACATATCTTGTTAAAACATATTTAACTGATTCTAAAAATATTTAATTTTCATTAATAGCTTTTTTATTAGTTTTAGTTTTTTGGATTTCTTTTTTATAGAAGATTTAGAAACTCCACTTTTTTTTTTATATTAAAACAATTAGTTTCTCTATATTCAATCTTACTATTTTCTTGATTACTTTCTTCTTGGCTACTTTCTTCTTGATCACTTTCATTAATTATATATTCTATATCTTTTTCTGATTGGCTTTGGCCTATATATTCGTATTGAGAGCTAGTAATATTATTAATCTTTTTAGTCTTTCTAACTTTGAGACAATTCTTTTTTGTATAGCCGGGTTTTCCACACATAGAACAGTATCTTTCTACTTTCTTTGATTTTGTTAATTTTTTAGCTGTAGGCTTCTTTGTATTATATAATTTTTTGGATTGTATATTTTATTCATATAGCCTAATCTTTTATATAATTTTTCTTTAATAAAATTTTTTAAAGCATCAGGATCTCTAGATGCATTATCAGAATATCTTAGTCTTTGAGCTATAAAATCTAATTCATCACATGCTTTTTTATATATGGTTAAATTTTCATCAGGTATTGTATTAGATAAAATTATAGAAACTGATGAATTGCTATTAACTCCATTATATATAAAAGTAAATAGTTTTCGCTCAAGCCATGTGTCTTTAATAGCTGTAAAGAAAGCATTTATATCTTCCAGATTTGTTATCTTTACTCTTGTAAATAATTCATCAGGTAAATAAGTCCATAATATGGCCAATACATCCTGGTTATTATTTGATATCTGTAACAATAAAAGACAAATTCTGTCTTCATAGGTTTGAGGAGTATCAGTAGGGTTAAATTTTTCTTGTACTAATCTGAATTGTGTGATTCTATTGTTTCTTCATGATATTTATGCTGTAACCAAGCTAAAAATCATGCTGGAGTATCAATATTTGTACCTGCAGGATATTGGGCTAGAACAGGTGTATATTTACTAGACATTTTAGATTTTAAAATTTCAGCTTTTATAATATTCTTGGAAAGTTCCTGTCCTATATATTGGGGGATTTGAGCAATCAATAGGGATAATGAAGACATAACATCTGTTAAGGTTACCATGTTTGCTATATTATTCTGTAGCACAAAAACTTGTTAATTTAAATTATTAATTAATTTTCAGAATTTCGAGCATGATTTTTTCATTTACCCCACTTGTTGTCTAGTTGAATATCAGCATATAATAGGTTATTTTCTAGAGTTTTGCACTTATTTTTCTATTTGATATATCGGTTTTTTGTAAGATTTAAGAGGTGTGTAGTAATTGCTCTATCTGTCTTATATTTTTGTAATTGCTGATGGGTTCGTCTATTTAAGAGATGCAATGCAAATTTTTCTTGAATTAATTTACTAACCTGTTTATTTTTATCATGATATGAGAACCACCAGCAACAGCGTTTTTTTGCTTCATTATTATAAGCTATAGTCATTAAATTCAAGTTTATATCAAAATTATATTGTCTTTGTTCACGAGTTAAGTCCTGTTAGAGAGAATTATAATTATTTTGAAGTGAAGCTAACTGGGTTTGTAAATTTGCTAACTGGGTTTGCAAATCTGCTACTTGATTTTCTGTATTAATTGCGCGAGCATTTGCTCGTGAATATATATCTAGTACTAACCTTTCAAACCTATCTCCGGCATCAATAATTATATTAAGATTATCTTTAATATCATTTATTGCAGGTACTGTTGTAATTGGGCTTTGAAAATATTCTCTAATGCTATCAAACTTTCATATAATTCTATTTTTCTGAATTGTAGCTTGATTTTCAGAAAGAGATAATATTCAGGGTGTTTCTGGTTGTTGAGCCATATCTATAGTATCATTAGAATTTTTATTTCTTAGAAATGATCCTTCAGATCTATACAAAACAAGAATTTTTTCATTAAGCTTATCTATTTTATTCTAAAAAAATGCTAACTGCTTTTATATAATTTTCTTGCTTTTCAGACTCTTTAAATACATTTTCTAACTGTTTTATAAGATTAGAAATTTCTGATCTCAATGGGTCTAGCTCCTTATTCCGAATTGAGATTTCTTTTTCTAGATAATTAATATAATCCTCTTTTGTAACAAGATCCTATTGTAATTTGTAGACTCAATTTTGTATTGCTAACAAAGCACCTTTAAATTGTTTGATTCTTTTACTATCCCCTCCTTCTTGCAATATTTTTTTGGAGGAAACCAATAAGTTTATCATTTTTTCTTGAAAACTATGTAATCACTATATATTGTTTTTGAGCTTGTGAAAAAAATGATGATTAGGATTCAAAGGATCTTCCCTATAAGGCCTTCTATAATACAAATAGATTTTGAAAAAGCTCATGAACTAGATATATCTATTGCTTTGTGTAAGATTTATTATCAACCTAATAGCTATTAAAAACTGTGAAAAAATTGTATGAAGCTTCTCTAAAGGCTGGGTTCAACTTTGTTGAAGATGAAGTATATAATTGGCTTGAAAAACAAGCTTTATTTCAAATTCATAAGCTATCTCCAAGGTATATTTTCCGAGTTTCATTTAATACAATTCAAATTCCTAATGAATATCATCAGGCTAATATTCTCTATATGCCTTATGATAAAATTAGAAAAATAACCTATATGTTTTGTCTTGATATTGCTTCTAGGTATAAAGCATCAGTTCCAATTGGAGGTATTATTCTCAATATTGAAGATTTTGATCTAAAAAATATTTTAATTTCGAAAGCTGTTGCTATAGCATTTAAAAAAATCTATAATGATCTATCATGTTCTCTTACTTACTTTAAATTATTGTTAACAGATAAGAGTTCTAAATTCAAAAGGGATTGTGAAAAATTAATGATAAACCATTGTGTAAAAATTCAAAAAGCTAATTCTAAACATACTATGGGAATTGTTGAAAGATATAACCGAACCTTAGTAGAAAGACTATTTCGAATACAAAATGCATCAGATTTGCTATTGCCAATATCTGAAAGATCTAGGGCTTGGGTGAAAAATCTTCCAATTATTGTTAAAAAACTTAATAATTCTGTAACTAGATTAATTGGCATGGCTTCTACTAAAGCTATAAAAATGAAAAAGATTATTTCATCATCTTCTAAAATACGCAATAGACCTATGGGCTTTGAAGAATCTAAGCTATCTTATAATACTTCTATAAGATATTTACTTGAACCTGGTGAGATCGACCGATTGCAATTGGTCACCTCAAGTTTATCATATTTATAAGTTTTTGGTGCAAAAAAATTAGCCTATCTTATATTGGCTTGAAGATGATGAGAGCAATAGACCAAAGCGATCTTTTGTCAGAGAAGAGCTTCAAATCATTCCTTCTGATACAGAATTATCTCCTCAGTGGGTGCTTATGAGTTGAAAATATTCATAGAAAATTTCAAGTTGGTATTTGTTATTACTATTGAATTTGCTTTACATATTAAGAAAATCTTCTGCTTCTTTATCGATAGAGTCTTCTTTGACAAAATAATCTTTAGCTAATTGTAATATAACTTGTATAATTCTATAATGGAATCATGAATCTTTAAATCATTGCCATACCATGATTTGCAATCATTCATAGTTTTATTATATTTGCCTTCATTAGGAAATATGGTCATAGCTAAATTTAATACATAC